TCGGCAAAGCCGATATCCAAGACCAAATGCAAACGAATAAAAAACTATTTACTAAACAACAAAATAAAAACTTTGTGCTTGCTAGGAATTATTATTTGCTTAATTAAATGAGGATTAAATTTGTATCGGGCTTAAATAAAAAGCAAACATTTATTTTTTTTGTGTAAAACGAAGCAGTTTTTGCTTTGATTTTTGGCAGCCCCCAGTTTACCTACCTTGGAGAGATCTACGCTTAAACTTAAATATTACCTTTTTAAAATTGTTTTAACTTTACTAAAATTATCATGAAAGAAAACGAAATTGAATTGACAGAAGAACAAAAAAAATGTGTTGAATATGACTTGGAGAAAAAATTACTAGTTATTGAAGCCAATCCCGGCACCGGGAAAACCGAAGTTCTAAAAGGTCGAGTGCTTTTTATTCACCAAAAAAACGAGCAACAAAGAAAATTAATTTTAGTCTTGTCTTATAACACTAACATTGTTGGAGAAGTGAGAAATAAGTTAAAAACAGAAGGATTAAATGTGCGAAAAAGCTTTAAAGATTTCTTTTCAGATGTTAATCATCGCCACGTTTGTTCCTTAAACAAGTGTCCTACCTACTCGAAAAACACAAAACCTTTGGTTTTAGTTTGCACCATTCATTCTCTAGCTAATGGTATAAATAGTTTAGTTTTGGTCAAAAAAATTTCCAAGAAAAGAAGAATAATGGCCTTAACTAATACCCAAAGAATAGAAAAAAAACACGGTTTTGTAAGTGGAGAAGAAGCCAATCATAAGTTTACTTGACAATCCAAAGGTCCAATATTCTCACGCCAAACCAAACTCCTTAAATACCTTTTACGACAAGGAGCCGAAAATTATCTTGATAAAGCCAAACATAAAAAGTTGTGGGAAATTTTCCAAAACAATGTTGAGTTGACTAAAGTGGATAATCCTTTCTATCATTATGACATAAATTATTCTCGTTTTTTAACTCAAATTCCCGCGTTATTGCCAGAAGAAAAAGAATTATTAGCAATGATGAAAAAAAGTTGCCAACGTGACCGAGAAGAAAATGTGTGGATGGATTTTGAAGATATGATTACTAATGCTAATAACCTCCTAGTTGCCTCCTCCGACCAAAAAATTTGACCTAATTTTGATTATATTTTGGTGGATGAATGCCAAGACTTAAAAAAAGGAACTTTAAATTTAATTACCGAAATTTTTGGCAACGAGCAAACCAAATTCATTTTTGTGGGTGACCCCAAACAAAATATCATGGGTTTTGCTGGTGCTCGAGAGGACATTTTTCAGTTGTTAAAACAAAAATTTTCTCCGGAAGTTTATAATAAAAGTGTTATTACACTCAGTTTTCGTTGACCGCCCGAAATTGCGGATTTTGCTAATTATTTTTTGAGAAAATTCACCGGCCATGAACCTTCAAACCGAGCCAAAAAACCTCCTAGTGGTCACAAACCACAAATAATTATTGTCGGCCACGAAGCCGATTATCAGTTAAGTTCTGACGAAGAGCGAGAAATTACGGAGGAATTAGCCCAAAATCCGGAGTTAAAAAGTTCTAATCTGAGGCAGGGAAAAATCCGGAAGAAAAAACTCCATAAGCATCTTGAAGCTATTTGACCGATTATCGACAAGTTAGATGCTTCCGCTTCCAAGGCTATACTTTACCGCCAAAACTGAATTGGCAACTTATTACAAAAATGATTAGACCAGAGAGCTATCACTACTAATATAAGCGGAAAAATAATTAATGATATCCTTATTAAAGTTCGTCGGCAAATAAAGAAAAAAATTCCCTTAACCGAATTTTCCTCCTTAAAAAGTTTGCTGGCTAGTTTAAAAATTCCGGAAGACAGTATTTTTCAACTGTCCGTGATAGTTAAGCAAATAGACGAGAACAAAGAAAAAAATTCTAGTTTAACCCTCAGCCAAGTCAATGATTTTATTAGCCAATTAACAGCCATAAAAAATCATTACGGCATCAAACTTTCCACCATTCATGGGATGAAAGGTTTGGAAGCCGATTATATTTTTCTTATTTTTTGCGACCAAAAAGTTTTGCCAAAAAAAGAAAAATTATCATTAAAAAAGAATTTAAAAATACTGAACTTTACAAGTCGGGACTTTTGTTTCTTAATCGGCTGGAAAAATCTTCAAGAAATGATGTCCGGGAATTGCCATCCTCAATCCAGAATTATCCTTATGAAGCATCTCTCCGAACAAATATTAGTCTCTCCCGAGACCTTTTTGAAAGTCAAATTAAAGAAAATATTGAAACCAAGGAAAAAGATTTTTGGATAGGGAATTTAAGGCTGCAAACCGTAAAAAAAGCCCTTCTTAAATTCGAATTTTATTCCTTTTCTAATCTGAAAAAATGATTTCCTAATTTGGAAAAATTGGAGGATTTTATTAAAAGCAAAAAATATTTAGGAAGAGTGAAAATAACTGTTTCTGGTCTGGAATCTCAACTTGCCGAACTAAAACCTAATGA